CTTCCACATCCGTACAAAAGACAACAACAAGTTGACGATTAACTTGTAAATTTTTGAATGAACCTAATAATGTATTTACTTAATGTCAAATATATTAACTTTTGCTTCTAAAACAGAGCCATAATAAAAAATGAAACGAAATTGTAACAAATATAAATTATAGTCAAACTTGTAAGTTATCAAACGGATGAGATTGAGGCTAAAAATCTTAACAGTGATTACTACAGAAACTGATCTCAAGTTAGGTATTTCGTTAATGGATTTTCAACTTTGTTACAAAATCTTAAGGTTAGAAGTCTATTAAAAAAATTCGCGACTTAGACAGCTGATCATTATGGCGATTAAGGAGGGAGTTTCGTATAATAGAGAGACGAATAGGACGAGGTTTATGTCCAGTGGATCTTAATAATGTCAAGACAAGATTACTACTACTATAAGGAAGCATGCCATATAACAATTAAAAGTTAGAATGGAATGGAATAAAGAGCCAGGCTGGTATTGGCAGGTATCGCGTATTCTTAATCAGAATTTAGGACAGTTGAAGACAAAGTATAGGCCATAGTTTGTAGTTAATAGGTACACTGACTTTGTAATGATGGGCAAAGTGGAGGGGAAGAGACGTGCTGGGCGCAGAAGAAAATCGTGGCTGCGAAACATCCGGGAGTGGACCGGCATTACATCTGTCGAACAATTGTTCCGCATGGCTACCGACAAGGAGAAATACAAGAAGCTGACGGCTGACCTTCAACATTGAAGAGGCACTATAAGAAGAAGAAAACTTTGTAACTAGCCGACGTTAAGAAGCAGAGTTCATATTACAGCCAATCGAGGGAGAAAAGATATTTCTAAGCATGGCTGCATCGAAATTCGTTTTTAATCCAAGGATACACTAGGGGAAAAATACCGTACGACATGTAACGGTGACATGTTGAGTGAAGCTGGCCAAGTCACCTGACATATATGACATATACGGCGACAATGTGCAACTATGTCCATAGTGATATTGATGTTGTCAGATATGTCGACCAAAGTCCGGCAATATCGCGCTACATCACCCAACATCGTTAGCGACACGTGTCGCAGGACACTTGTCCTCAAGTGTATCCTTGGTTTTATTGTTGCGTATTCCTTATTGTTAGGACTAGGTAAAACGACGTATAAAATTACAAAGTTATTGAGTAAAGTCAATGAATAGCACCCTACCATACCCGGGTTGAATCGGTAGTTTTAAATAAACATTACTAACTTAAGCAAAAATCTAAGAATTTCCCGTGACCTCCCCTAGGCGTTCCCACAAATTAAAATGTGTACAAATTAATTTTCCTATTGTGTCTTTTTTAGAGATAAATATTAATTCTTATTTATCCAAGGTTACCTTTTAATATATTGTTCAATAATGATAATCCTTAAATTCCCAGAATTCTGCTAATAAGTTAGCGACTCTTTGGAGTTACATTTTCATATAAAAAAAGCATTTAAAAAGTTTACATTGCTTACCAAATCTTATTTCATGTTTTATTAGGTTCATAAATCGTGTTCTACCGTATGCTATGGTATCAGAGAGTGGGTTTACAAGTATACAATACACATACACAGCACAATTAGATAGCAATTAAAAAAAAATAATTAAAATATATGTAACTAAAAATGGCCTTATAGTTTGAATTATATTATCATAAGATAAGAAACTTGATAAATTGGAACTTGCAAAGATGATATTATTCATAAATGAAAATTAATTAACGGCTAACAAATTGTGTACTGAAAAAAAGCTCGAAATTGTTATTTAAAAAGTATAAAGGAAGGAAAAAAGCTGTTATTAACCTCATCAGGTTATTATTAAATTATAATAACAATGAGTTATTTATATAATTGAAAGAAAAAAAACATGAATTTACGATTTATGCAGCGAGTTTAATAATCTCAAATGATACATGACAATCAATGAACTTCGTGACTTGTTGTTATTACCTAATCCTGTAGTTTCGAAAAATATTAAATAAATCGTATGTTTCCAAACGGCTAAAGATATGACTCATGAGTGTATGTATGTGAAAATACGAAATATCTGATGAATCATTAAGTGTTTATTGCATTACATTTACTGAAAGCAGCTTTATTATTTCAGAGACTGTTAGTTGTGATGCCAAATAAGTAATATAATCAATAAAAGAACATCGTGATTTTTTTTTATATTACTTATTTTATTTGGGAGTGGGCGCGCTAAAAGTAAAATTTTTGTATAATATTTTATTGTGTAGTTTATTTGTCATCAGTGTATCTCAGATAATTTACAAAAATAATTTACGGTAAAAGGTGTATAACATATGAGAGAGCACAATTATGGAATAAATTGCCAAATAATACTCACAGAGAATGTAAGTCGATTGCCATATTTAAAAATAAGTTAGGAAAATATGTATCTGAAAAGATTTATTAATACCGTTTGGTCATAACTCTATATATAATTAGCTAACCTAGCTATAATTAGTCATTTAAGCTGATTGTAAGTGAATCATGTTCTTTATGAGTGAATAAACAATCATTAAACTTAAATAATTTTACACAAGGTAAAATGAATGGATCAACTTTTGCGCAAGGACGTTGATAAAACTAAACGTAATGTCACTAGGAAATGAATGATGCACCAATGTGCACCAATATATCTGTGGTGTATTTATGTAGTATGCGTAAACTAGCAACACCGTAATGTATGAAGTGTATTGATAGGCCATGTCACGCGATAGATGTCCTTCGTGTCAATGTGTGTGTGTTCTGCGTGTAAGTCTATAGTAGCCAGATGCCACAGTCGTTGTTTTAAGAGACTATGTCCGCGTTTTTGTCAACGTCCTTGTTTTTGCGGATAACTTTTAACTAGTTCTGAAGTAATACTTACTAAATATGAACAAACAAAAGATTTAAAATTTAAAACATAAAAACCATATCGACGGTTGAAAAGCTAATTGATCCAAGAGACATTTTTTGCGACTTTGAGATAAATACATGTTCGGAATCAGCGAATTTTCCTGTGTCGTGGTGTAGGTATATAACAATATCACAAAAAATTTAGCTTAGATCAATTAGCCATCAAACTATCGATGCGCTTCAGTACATAAACCCTTTCAAATCCTTCTTCATGAAATACTTTAAAAAGCTACGTCAAAATGTATTTAAATTTCCTCTAATCTTTATTGGAAGCAATTCGCTACTCATATTTATTTGAGTTGAGAAGAATGATATATTTGCATTTTAACGCAGGCTTTTTATGGAATAAGGCAGAAGGATAACCTGATGGTAAGCAATGGGCCGTCCATGGACTCTGTAAAACCAAAGACTTTGCAAGTGCGATGTCGACCCTTAGGGATTAAGGATTCGGGATTATCATTTGTACCGAAGCATGGTTCTCCCGCACTTTAAAGTTCTATTTAAATATTTTATACTATCATATTATAAAACTGAACTTTGTTTGTTTGTTTAAACGCGATAAACTAAGGAACTACTGGCCCGATGTGAAAAATTCTTAGTGTGATAGTCCATTTATCGAGGAAATGCTCCCGCCTGGGCGAGGTGAAACAGGCCCTTAGGCTGGATTTATCAATTGACAGATAATTCTTTTGCGAATGTTACAATTATTAAAGATTTCTTAAAGAATGTACGATGACTCGTACAGGGTAGAATAAAATTGACATTAAATTTGACAGATTTAAGTAAGGAAGAATCGATGAAATATTTAAAGTTATTATTCTGATAAAATTCATCCGGTGTTGGAAATATCAATGCTAATAAAGTCTATAACTAAAATAGAAGATTATGCCTGACATTGTTTTCTATCTTTAAATCAGAAAAAAATCATTAACATACTATATAGCAGTTAGAAATAGGTACTCGAAGTTGTTCACTTTCTTTTCAATCAAAGATGAAAAGAGTCAAAACCTGTGCAGCAAAGTTTAGTGTTGAAATTTAAAAAGCTTAGTTTATTATAATTTATTCGGAAATGTAAGTTTGTTAGTACCACAAGATCGTCAGTAGTTAAAATAAAGGAAATGTCTCATTTTTGAAGTTCTGCTACAGAACATTTTTGACTCATAATTGAATAGAAAGTAACATTAAATTGAAATCGAACAAATATGAAGTACTTAGCGCACATTTTACCACCCTCTCCTAAATTTTAAGGAACCCTTTAACTGAGAAGTGAAATTTAACGTTTTAGTTTCACCAATCTATAAGTTTCACCTAACGATATAAGGGCTTAGTTCAGGTGCTAAGTCACGCTAAGTAACTTCTAGCTAAGAGATTGTTGGTGAGAATGGCCCTTAATTTTTTTATGGAGTAAGCTGGTAAACGAGCACATGAATTACCTGATGGTAAGCAATCGGCGTCGCCAACGGACACCTGAAACACCAGAGGCGTTACAAGTGCGTTACCGGCCTTTTGGGGAATTAGGAGTTGAGGATCGTTGGAGATTCGGGAATTGGGGAAATTGGGGAAGGGGAGGGTAATTGGGCCACCGGAAACCTCACTCACACGACAAAACACAATGCAAGCGTTGCTTCACGTCGGTTTTCTGCTCGGCCGTGGTATTACTCCGGTCGAGCCGGACCATTCGTGCCGAAGCATGGCTCTCCCACACTTCCTAAGATAACACGAAATCAGATTTAGTGTCTATAAAATTCGTGGTAAACGCTGCATAATCATATTTAATTACAACACAATGATAAATAATAGAATTAGGAGAAATAAATCATATTTGCAGTTCATCTTCAAAATATCAAGTTTCTGATTAAATGACAATATACTGCTGCAAATTACAGTCACTACCTACACCGAAAAATAAGCTTGGTAAGAAAACATCACAACAATTTCTTAACGAACAGCACAAACTTCAAACGGTTAACCATTTAAAATGGTAGCTTTTTAATTTTTTATACTAGCAACACTAGTTATAGACTGTCACTGTCAACTAAAGCTTTAAAGCTAATAGCTATCCTAGTTTATGATTTCTAGTTGTCGTCGTCGTCGCCAGGAGATGAAACATTTGCGGTGCCATCTACGCCTCCGCCCTCAACGTCGTTTCCCATGCCTCCTCCCATGAGCCCCGGGCAACAGGAGCAGAAGAAGCAAGTTAAGCAGGCTATGCATGCCGCCATGCCTGCCTTATTCGCCATACCACCCGTTGGATTTTGTTGCTGTGGTGGACCTTATATGGAAAGACAAATATTTTTAGTATAAGTAAAATTATTACTGACCTCTATGGGGGATTACATACATTACGTAAACGATCTGCTAAAGTAGTTATTATAGTATTCAATATTGTTTTAGTGCCATATTAAGTTAATAAGTGGAAATGTTGTAATTTTTGTTTTGTAACTTTAAACAAATTCTTAAAAATAGTAAGTAATATAAGATTTTAAAATAATTATTGTATTAATTAAATAATATTCATGATTTTTGTTATTTTGTAAGTACTTTTGCGGTGCCCAAAAGGGCCTATAGTTGGAACACATTTTGTAAAAAACTGTAAACCATCCTGCACACACTATAGATGAATTAAAGTGATTTGAATTTGAATTTCTGCTTCTGGCTCACCACGACATACATTTGCTACGGTGCCCACACTTGCATGTCGTACCTATCGTGTCTTTTGGGTCGCCAAAACTTTGCAGCCAATTGGTGCACACGTTACGATAAAAAACGGCCTTGATAAACACCCGTCAATGTTTTCAAAACTAAGCCAGATGAGGTTGACATGTCCTATCTAATTACTCTAACAAGAAACAAAAACAAAATCAAAGACCACAGTCTTTTTTAAAGTCCAGAAAAAATTAAACGAACAGCGTTAGTTCATCCTGTCCTTTTCTGAAAAAAGATCCACACTGGGTGGACACTATTAAAAATATCTACCATTTTAGTAGTATTTCTTACCGTACCCCTGTTGTGGTGGATATCCCCCATATCCACCCTGTTGAGGTGGGTAACCCCCATATCCACCCTGTTGAGGTGGGTATCCCCCATATCCTCCCTGCGGTGGAGGGTAACCTCCTTGTTGGGGTGGAGGGTAACCATATCCTCCTTGGGGTGGAGGATAACCGCCTTGTTGTTGATTTGGGTATGTATGCTGAAAAAAGATTAATAATAATTAAATAAGAGTGATTGCAAAAGGGGTTTGCTTCAGTCAAACATAGTATCACTGAGTGTTTTTAGATTTTTGACAAATCTTAGACCTATACTCGCCCCCTATTACATGGTACCCATAACATAACTGCTGGAAAGTGGATGTTACATAGTATATGAGCACCTCTGTTTACCCTATCGATGATAAAAAAACGGGAGCATTTCGACAAAGTCAAGGATATATAGGTATGTCACACAAGTACAAACAAAGTAACATAACCAGCAGCTGTAGCCAAATGCTATTTAGCGCTTGTCTACACGTAGAATAGAAAACCAAATTAATTGACGTAAATTTTGACACTTGTCAGTGTCATCCCTATACATTTTGATTTCTTCTCTCTCTCTAGACAAGCTCTAAAGTGGCGTTTGGCTAAAGGCAACTGGGTATAATGCTGACGAAAATTAGGTATGAGATGATAATCGTCACCTGTCCTGAAGACTGCGGATATCCTCGTTGATACGGCCCTCCACTTGGATACTCAGTATTCTGGGGGTAAGTCGCGCCTTGGGGTTGGGGGTACCCGCCGGGTTGTGGTTGGCTTCCTTGGGCATAGTTGGGGGTCCCCCGGTTGGGGTGATTGGGGGTGTGTCCATAAGCTATAGTAGTGGTGCTGGAGTACGTTGGTTTGTATGGTTGTGAGCTGCTCGGTTCTGTTTGTGTGCTTCGATGATCAGCTTCGTATTTCTGCGTGGATCTGTGGTACTCCATCTGAGTACCACTGTTGGCGTGGGTGATTTTGTAGCGGTCCTGGAACAATACAATTTATTACTAGACTATTTTGACTGCCTCGTTGGCCGAGTAGTCGCAAGTGTGATTGCCGGGCCGGGCAGTGTATTACTGGGTTTCTCAGTAGTAGCACGGAGTCTGGAATTGTGTACGGTATATGGTAATAGACTCACCCCTTATTACATGGGACTCATAACATAAATAGTGAAAAGTGGGTGTTACATTGTACAGTGGCATTAAGTGCCGTAATGTGCACGTCTGCCTACCCCTTCGGGGATAAAACGCGTGATGTTAAGTATTATTATTAAAGTAAGTACTAGTATTTTAGTGCCGATTCCAGAAGCGAAGCGCGCCTTGGCGGGGGCCCCGTATAAAAAAATGTTGACTTTATGAACGGTAAAGATTTCTCACAAGAGGACAACACACTGTGCATAAAATATTAATATACTTTTTTTTACTATTTTTTCTTACTTTATGATTTTGTTATAATTGGACGTTACATAGATTTAGTTTAAGGCCTAGCTATCGCAATGGAGAAACCTGTCATGATAGTTTAGGTAAGGTTTTATATAAATAAATAAATAAATAAATAATTTGTTGGAAAACCACCAAACTTTCCCTCTGTCTACTAAATAATACAAAACAAGCCTAAATTAACTAAAATCGCGGGTTACTCACGTGAGTAACTATACTGAGAAAGTGAGCTGCGCGACGTCGCCGCGACCGCGCACGCTGCTCATGAAGACGAACCCCTCTGTGGTTCGAAACTAGTAGAGCTTTTCTCAGTATATTCACGTGAGTAACCCGCGATTTTAGTTAATTTAGTATGTCTCACGATAGTTATTATAAAAACAAGCCTATTTTCGCTGATTCTCCACTTAACCCGAAGGTTGACTGGGAGAAAGTGCCATATGACATTAAGTATGATTTTAAGTGAGAGAGCCATACTTTGGCACGAATAGTTCGACTGGAGTGATACCACGGCCTCACAGAAGACCAACGTGAAACAACGCTTGTTGTGTTTCGTCGTATGAGTAAGGTTATTGGAAACCCAATTACCCCTTGGTGGGCCCTTTCCCAATCCCTGAATCCCCAACACCTCAAATACCTAATCCCAAAAGGCCGAAATATGTGTCTTATTTTTGTGTATTAGTTAATAAAATAAATAATCAGCTATATGATTATTTTAGTTATTCTAAAATTTCTGCCAACCTTTGAACGCCTGAAAAATATAGTTTACTTTGACAATTGTGACTAGTTAGTAGTAGTAGACTTATTTGAACGAGAGTTAACTCATCGTAACCCACTATTTCGATCCCTTTTGATGATATAGCAGCTAGGGCTTTATGCAACTCAGCATTTACTCAATTTACAATTGCATTATATAATGACATTAGATAGCCAGTCTAATCGCGATCACCAGCTAAATAACACCCTGTATTGACTAATTAATAATATAATTAAACTAGCTACTTCCGCGCGGTTTCACAAGCTCTGCTCAGCTCCTATTGGTCGCAGCGTGATGTTTTATAGCCTATAGCCATCCTCGATAAATGCGCCATCCAACACAAAAAGAATTATTCAAATCAGACTTGTAGTTACGGAGATTAGCGTGTTCAAACAAAAAAACAAACTCTTCCGCTTTATATAATAGTATTTTTTTTCTTTTTAAGGGGGGAAAATCATCGGATGACTGCTCCCGCCTGGGTGAGGCGGAAGGGAGTGTCAAACTCTTACTGACTAAAAACCACCCCGTTCCTTCTCCTGCACGTCGAGCCGGAGCCCCGGTAACCCGTTAGGTTCTCCGCGACTCCGAATCGGCATCGGCCCTATTGGGCCCCATCTGTGGTGGTCTGATGGCTCTTTAAGGCGCGCGCGGAACGCGACGCGCCGTACGCTCGGGTCTGTTTCTGGTCGGACGGGGAGCCACCCATGCTCGCCGTCCGCAGGCCCGCGCTTACGGTGGCCGGAGATCGTCCCGCGATCCCCGACGCCCGGTGTGTCCTTCGCGACGGCTGGGTTGCGAGGAGGCAGCGCTTCGCTGCCTCACGCGTCCCGCCTCCTCCTTAGCTTGCATGACTGCTTCGCAAAAGGAGGAGACGGCATCCCAGTCCCCCTCGCTCCGCATCATGGCCTGCACTAGGCCCGGACGCGAGAGGTCGCCATCGCCAATCACTTCCCTGAGGGCACGGCGGTGCTCAGCCCACGCAGGGCATATCGCTACAGTGTGTTCCACCGTGTCCTCAGGGCGGTCCTCGCAGTGATGACACCCGGGCGTTTCCTCCCGCCCCATCAGACACAGGTACCTCCCGAAACTTCCATGTCCGGTGAGGACCTGCGTCAGGCGGTAGGTGAGGACGCCGTAGCGTCTCTCAAGCCACTCCTCAAAGAGGGGTCTTACCGCTGCAATGGCAGTTATATAATAAGAAGTATAAGATTGTAATTAATAAATAAATGTATTTTTTAACCACCTCGACCGCCGAAACATTACTCGTGCTAATCTCGGGAGCTACTGGTCCGAATGTCATAATTTTTTTGTGTAGTCCATTTATAAAGGAGGTGTCTTTAAGGCCCGAGTGAATAGGTTGCTTATGGGACGACGTGCTCCATCGTAGACCGCATCATCACTTACCACTAGGCGAGATAGTGGTCAAATGTCGCCACATCAAATATAAAAAAAGGAAGGCTATAGGTTCGTGGCATCACGCTATGGTCAATAGGCGCCCAGCAACGGGTAAAATGGTGCAGGATTAGCTATTTATTAACTTTAGGCTCGGTGCGATGCGAATTCGCAACGTAAAAAATTACGATGCGAATTGCTGCGATGCGATTTCGTGCGACAAGGCGTCTCCCAGGGTGACCATTCCTTCGACGACCGTCAACCGTACTAAACGTATTTTAAATTGAAAACTAGGTCGTGACATGGATCGTAACAAGAAGTGTGCACTTCTGTTATTGCTTAGGAGATACCGGAAAAAGTAACAAAGAAGATTTAGGGAAGATAAGATTTCGATGCGCGATGCGAATCAATTCGCAAGTTCTTGCGATGCGTAGAGGGAGCTCGCACATTTTTGCGATGCGACGTCGCATCGCAGTTTTGTGTACGGGCCCTTACAGGGGCTCCAGCTCACAGCAGGAGTAGGAAAGGAGTGGTGTTCAGTCAGAGTCTAACACTAATACTCCCTCTCGCCTAACGCAAGGCAGGAAAGTCATTGAATGATTTCCACCCCTTTAAAAAAAACATAATACTAACTAATAAGTAAAAATAAAGAAACGTCTACTTATAGCAAGCGTATATTGCGAACTAACGGTTACAATTCTGTAAGCTTATTTATACGTTATGTTACTTAATAAATTCTTATGTGGGTAAACCTAAATATATTACAATCCTTCACCTTAAATAATACATATCCTAAATCTATATATATATAAGAAAGTCGTGTTAGTTACACCATTTATAACTCAAGAACGGCAGAATAGATTTGGCTGAAATTGGTAGGGAGGTAGCTTAGAGCCAGGAGACCGACATAGGATACTTTTTAACCAACATTTTTTTTTTACTTTTTACCGAAAATCACGAACGGGGACGGGAAAAAATGGGATTAGGCGTACGAAGTCGCGGGCAGAAGCTAGTATAAAACTAAAATAAACAAAATAATATAACCTTAACATGACACAAAGGTTCAATATTATTTACCTGTGGGTATTCTTCATATCCGGAGTTGCCTGATGGCCGGTACGCGATTCTGTTAGGTCGACGGCATCGGTCTCTTAACCGACGGCAGCGCTCGGGTATCTGCTGTTGTATAGTTTGCTGCAAATTAAAACATTTGTTTCATACTAGCTTCTACTATCGGTGTCACTCGCATTCCCGTAGAATAAAAAGCCTAGACACTCCAGGCCATAATCTACTTTTCCAAGCCTATGTCTTATACACCGAAGCATAATCTACTCCAAATTTTATCCCGATCCCTTCATCCGTATTGAGTATCATACGTACACACAAACTGACACAAGAACTTTCGCATTATAATAGGGATGATGACAGGATATGACAATTAAAAATCTAATCAGTCCGTCAGTTAGGTAATGAAAAAATATTAGACACGCATTTTTTATTTTGTCATATATTAAAACATAACATAACATAACATCACGCCTTTTATCCCCGAAGCGGTAGGCAGAGGTGCACATTATGCCACTGTACAATGTAACACCCACTTTTCACTATTTATGTTATGAGTCCCATGTAATAGGGGCTCACCCCCTATTGCCATATACCGGGCACAATTCCAGACTCCGTGCTACTATTAAGATTTTTTTAAAACCCAGTAATACTTTGCCCGACCCGGGAATCGAACCCGAAACCCCTTACACCGGCAGTCGCAATTGCGACCACTCGGCCAACGAGGCAGTCAATATTAAAACAATACTTAGATAAAATGAATCAAAGTTTAGGAGTGGGGGCTAAAACGTCAGTTCTACGTATAAAATATACCTAGAAGTGACGTCACGCGACATTTCAAATCAATATATCGTCGAAAGTATTCGTTTCTGTGAGAAAATAAAAAATACGTGTCTAATGATTTAAAATAACCTACTAGACGGACATTGAAATAAAAATTAGGCATCTACCCTATTATAATTAGTAAGATAGCATGCATTTCCTTTTAATATTCAGCATCATCATCATTATGAGTACAGCCACGTACAATCCCCCTGCCTCCCCCAGTCCCCCCAATGACAACACATCGCGAGGTTGGTCGCAGACTCTTATCAGGGTGCTTACTCTTGAAACCAATCTCAATGTCAATCCAATTTCAATCCAATGCAATCTCAATAATTATTCAATGTCAACACTATACAACCACAATCGTAGCTGTTACAATAGCATTCAGAGTACGGAATATAAAGACAAACTCAATACCATTTAGTTCATTCAATATCCACACAATACGGATGCAATGGACGCTAGTGTTGCACTCAAGAGTACGAAATTTCACAATACCAATGTCGATCGATCGGAATTGGATTCAAGAGTAAGCCCCCAGGTCGCCTGTCCTCGTATGGGTAGAAGTCATACGCTGCGCTTGCTGGTCTCCATTCAAGAAAAGACCCGAGGCTCCTCTACTCAAGAGCGTCTCCATGCTTAGGAGGCGGACTTCACGCTTAAAGGTCATAGTTTAAAAGTTTCAGGTTTACCAGAGAGCGCTGCTGCTCGGCCTCTGACAAAATGTGCAGTCCCTTATTCGGGTATGGGACACCCACGGGAAGATGAGGGGTGGTGAAAATATTTCTACTCTGCTGTGTTATATGTCGAATAAAACTCACTATGACATTCCCCATCCCAAGGATATTTTAACATGCAGCTTCCGCAAAATTTTTTTCTCAACTTCTTATTAACCATTTTGCAAAACTTAACGATTTGTATAGTGAATTGTATTTTTCAATTTTAACATTTTACTTTTAGCATTTTGAGAGTACAAAATTTTGACGCAAACTGACAGACGGATCATCTGACAAATGATAGAAGGTTCTTGTTTCGAAAAAGTTTGAGATATTGGCTATGTGCAAAGCTAGTAGTGGCGGACAGATAACGACCGCAGCGCACAACGCGGCAGAAATTGGAAACAAATGCGGATGATGATCAAATGTGTTGATTGCAGTACAAAATCAAAGCAAAGAAATGGGCCATGACTGTTGTTCATTGCGTTGTTAACTGCAAAAACAACGGCTTCAATAGCAAATGTACATTTTATATTTTCATGTGTTGATGGTACACAATAGTCTCCAAAATCTCATGACATGTAGTCAACATTGTATTGGAGGAAAAAATTCAGAGGAACAATTGAGTCCAAGCTACGTTCCTACGATATTCCCGATATATATATATATATATATCGGAAAAAGAAAGTTAACCAATCCCAGGTATTATATTATGACTATGTGCAAAGCGATTAGTGGCGGACAGGTAACGACCGCAGCGCACGACGCGGCAGAAATTGGAAACAAATGCGGAGGATACATACCCGGTTTTTATTATCATATTCATTTTACAGTAAAACTATTAAATACATTGTACTTAAATAAGATCAACAATACTATTTTAATCTTTGGTTTTATTTATATATATAGTAATTAAAATATATAAACCAGAAATACCCATTTACACAATATAATATAATTACCTAAACTACTTTTACTATGTATAGCAAATCCTATGCATAGCTGCTCGTATAAATTCCCCTGAAGAGCAACAGAATATGTCTACGACATTAGCAAAGAGGTTCAGAGGGCGAAATCGGCAGGCTTCGATTGACATGTGGTCGATATGTCGGCACATCTTGGCTTAAAACCATTGCTACTGCCTTCTTCTTTGAATTTAACTAAATAAATATATAAATAACATAAATAAAATAGCCTTTATTGCTATTTCTTATCAAATAAAGTTGTTGTTGTGTGCATTTTCTATCGCTTATACCACGGTGAATGCTCTGAGGAATTGTTTGACCTGATACCAGCCGCATCTTTTCACCATCGACCCTCACGATAGCATATGCATCCCCATCATATAGATGGTTGGCAGGCCACAAATGTGCGCTTCTCACGTAGCTTCCTGCCTCGCACAGCAAAACTCCTTCCGTGTACAGTTAGCTATGTCGACGACATCAGCCACCATCACCATGTTGAGTGTGCGCAAAGCACGAGTGAGCGTCGCGCGCTCCAGCAGGTTGGTGCATATGTCGAGCGATGTCCGGCAGCGTCGCGCTACTTCACCCAACGTCGCTGACGACACGTGTTGTGCGACATTTGTCCCTTAGTGTAATCTTGGCATTAACTAGATCTCGTCTATTATATCTCTTCACAATCAGTGCTATGAAACTGTTCTATTCTGCAGAATTTATTAAAATTTTATCTATTTAATTTCATATTTAAATTTATTTTCTTTCCCTTATTGAGGGCGGTACCGCCGTCTGTGAGTCACTGCAGGGTGCTACCTGAAAATCAGTGTTGGGCAGGAACGCTCAACTATATGCTGAGGTGGAGGCCCTTTTGGCATGTGCACACGCACTACAATATTACTATGTATTATATTATTCATATAATGTTTTTTTTTTTGTATATTTAATTTCTCTTTATATCAAAAACTTATTGCATTTGTTTCCTATTGTATGTACATTATGGTCTTATTTTTTGATGATTTTTGTTATTTTGTTTACGCTTTTATGTTTGTTATTAATATTATGTATTTATGTAAGTATCTGTAATTATATTTTTCATAATCTTTGTTTATGTGCCATTTGCGAAATAAATGCTTTTTTTCTATTATTTTTGTTCTGTTTTTTTATTAGGACGATTTTTCCAACACCAGATAAATTTTAACCGAGGAACAACTTTGAATATTTAACAATTCTTCTATATCTATTATCCTCGAAGGAATAGGGACAGATGCCCATTACGGCACTTAATGCCACTGTACATTGTAACACTTACTTTAACTATTATGTTATAAGTCCCATGTAACGGGGGTGAGCCTATTGTCATAAACCGGTCAGAATTCCAGATTGCGTGCAACTGCTGAGATTTTTTAAAAATCCCATTAATACTTTGCTTGATCCGGGAATCGAATCCGAAACCCCTTGCCCGCAGTCGCACTTGTGACCACACAGCCAACGAAGCAGTCAGTTATAAAATAAAGTTACATAATATTTCACATTATCTATGCTCTTACGCCATAGCTATACCACCGTAGCTAGTATCGTAGCACGTAGCATTGAACCACTGCGAGCTACGCCAGGCTACGCCGTAGACCCGTAGCGTAGCAAATATAAATGGCTTATTTTACTTACTTTAGCCCGTGATTGCAGCCCAACCCGCATTGAGCAAGCGTGGTGATTAATGCTCAAACCTTCTCCGTGTGAGAAGAGGCTGTGCTCAGCAGTGGGCACTTATAGGCTGATGATGATGATGAGCCCGTGATTTCGTCTTATAATCATTTTAATTATTACAAATGTTTATTTTATGAACTACGTTTAAAAAAACCGACTTCAATCCTCTCCCGCTTTGGTTAAGGCGGGAGGGAGTGTCAGACTCTTACTGACTAAACACCACCGCGTTCTTACTCCTGCTTTCCGGATCTCCGGTAACCCTCTAGCTCAGGGAAGGTTTCAGAGTCGCGGAGAACCTAACGGGTAACCGGGGCTCCGGCTCGACGTGCAGGAGAAGGAACGGGGTGGTTTTTAGTCAGTAAGAGTCTGACACTCCCTTCCGCCTCACCCAGGCGGGAGCAGTCATTCGATGATTTTCCCCCCTTAAAAAAAAAAGCTCAGGGAAGGCGAACCTTTACACATTACCGTGCCAATTACTTTCAAGAAAAGTATTTTACGGTTTTATGTGTGCCATCGACTGATATTTACTGTCAATCTGTAGCAATAATGTATACAGTTGACCTGGTAAGCTGTCACCGCAGTCTGAGTACACCAGCAATATTCGAGACACCACAAATGCGTTGTAGGTTTCTGATCATTCATCAGTTTTGTAGTCACTGTCGTACCCAAAATGTTGTGTTCCGTGCCATCAACGGCACGCGTGCCAATGGTTCGCCATCTCTGCTCTAGGTCTTCCGTATCTCCGTTCACTTGTTACTCCATAAGTGTTACCGCGACGCCCATGCACACCAGTACACGGGCGTCGCGGTGCTGCTTCTTTGCCGCCCTATACCACGTAAAAACAATACTAACTTACCTGGACATGGCGTGCTCTTTGACACCCCGGGAGGGTGTCATTTTTCTCTCGTCCTATCCGTCACACATGGTAACAGCTGCTGGGAGTTGGGAGGTCCTGGTAAGGTAAATGTTAAAATATAATAATTATCTTATTAAAATCTCTTTGGGGGAACTGAAAAGAAGTATTTAGAAAAATAATCTGTACTAATATTATAAAGCTGAAGAGTTTGTTTTTTTTGTTTGTTTGTTCGAACGCGTTAATCTCCGAAACCACTGATTCGCATTGAATTATTATTTTTGTGTTGGATAGTCCATTTATCTAGGAAGGCTATAGGCTATAAAAAACCTCGCTATGACCAATAGGAGCCGAGCAGAGCGGGTGAAACCGCGCGCAAGTATCTATTTTTTAGATAATTTTAAGCAAACATATGGAAATTTTACTAATATCATAATTGAGAAATATTATGACTGAGCTTGTATGTATGTTTGTTACACAATGCCTGAGGCTTCACTCGCGTTCCTGTAGGATAAAAACTACCCTATGTGTTAATTTTAGACCCTAATCTGCCCCTGTTCCAAATTTCACCCGAATCCTTTCAGCCATTTTGATGGGACTGAGTGCCGAACATGCATACAAACACGAAAACTTCGTATTTATAATATTAGTTAAGTTATATATAGTTACTAGCTGTTACCCGCGACTACGTTCGCGTTAAATATTCATATTTCTTGTTAATTTATAGTTTAATTTATAGAGTTGATTGGCGAGGCGTATTTGAGAGCTAGTATGAAACGGAACGTTTATTGTCTACTCAAGATGGCGACTGCGGTATGTCTGTCAGTGTCATTAAAATGAATTAATAAAGTCTGTCAGTGGCATTAAAATGAATTAATAAAACGAAATAATCTCCGTAATCCGAATTTTGCGGATATATGATGTCGATATATTTTTATGTTTTATTATTCAGGTAATGTTTCGATCGAGTCTACCGTACCCCTTGATGTAATTATTAATAAAGATACTGTGTTATTCTCACCTCAAATTCCCATGGAACACCCAGCTGAAAATAAAAACGTATTTTAGATAGATATATATTCATTTATTTGCCTGAAATATGAAATAAAATGAAATGAAATGAAATAAAATGAAATAAAATGAAATAAAATGAAATTAAATATATTTACTCGGCATAGGACATGCATGCCAAAAACAAAAACGTGTATTGTACAGTGGCATTAAGTGCCGTAATGTGTACGTCTGCCGTCCCCTTTGGAGATCAAAACGCGTGATGTTATGTTACCTATATATTACTAGCTGACCCGGCAAACGTTGTTTTGCCATATAAATAATGATTAAAATGGCTATTAAAAAATAAGGGTTGACCGTAGAAGGGTGAAAATTTAGGATTGTGTGTATTTTTGTATGTTGTATCATAAAAAAATAGAAATTAAAAATTTTGTCTAAAAAATAAAAAAAAAAATTAGGTGTGGACTACCCCTAACATTTAGGGGGATGAAAAATAGATGTTGGCTGATTCTCATAGATACCGGATAAGCACAATTTTTTTTATCAAAATCGGTCAAGACGTTTCGGAGGAGTGTGGCGACGAAAACTGTGAC